TGAGCCAGAGTAAAGCCAGATTGGTCAGGAGTTGCCACAGTATCAGCTGACAAGTGCTGGGACTCGGGGCAAGTCTTGTCGAGCTAGACTGCAGAACCGTCTGCAGAATGCAAGATCCTGGGTAGGGAGTGGGTCCAGAAGGCAAAATCCCACTGGTAATCATGAGAATAAGGGCTTGGGGAGGGTCTAGCTAGACAAGCGGTGGCAGCCACCAGCATGAGTGTAGGCCGGGTAGTGAGGTCAGTTGGGTTGAGCTAGGCTCCAACACCCATCAATATGTATAACAGGTGAATGGAATGTGGGACAGACCAGACCAGAACATCTGGTACCGTTCAGAGGAAGAAGGGAAGAAAAAATTGGCCAACTACCCCAGCGATGCTTGACAGCAAATTTCTGGTTGGCAGACTCTAAAGTGGACTATGAAGATTCTAAGGTAGACTCTAAGATTCAGCCAATGAACTTTGGAAGGATTTCCTCATCCTTGGATCTGCGAGATCAGCAGCATTTCAGAACTACCGAAACTACTTGAGCAGAACCCTAAGAACATTCTCCACATCGGGGAGCCTGAGATGACATCAGGTGGCCATTCCCCATCCCCGGGTACTGAAGCAGTTGGGAGGCTGGGTGCAGTTGCTTCCCTTACCTTCCCTCTTCCCCCAGATAGGGGAAGAAGAAGAAGAAAACGTGAAAATAACAATCTCACCTACTTTCCCCTAATCCTCAACCCTTTCCACCCTAATCAACTATGTAAACATCATCAAAGATAAAATTTAAATAAATAAATAGAAGCTGGGATTTGGAGGCCATTGTTGCGGCACAGCTAGTTAAGTCACCACCTGCTGATGTCATAACCCTCTATGGGTGCTGCCAGTTTGAGTCCTGGCTTCTCTGCTTCAAATCCAGCTGCTGCTAATGTGTCTGGGCAAAGCAGTAGAAGATGGTTCAAGTGCTTGGGCCCCTTGTACCCACATGGGAGATCTGGATGAATCCCCTGACTCCTGGATTCAGCCCTGCCCAGTCCTGGACATTGAGTCCATGTGGGGTGTAAACAAGCAAGTTGCTCTCTCTCAATTTCTCCCTCTCTATTTCTCTCTCTTTTCCTGTGTGTGTATATATCCTTCTCTCTGTAATTCTGACTTTCAAATATGTATATGTAGATATATTAATGAAAATGACAGCAGCGATGACAAAGATCCTCTGATCTGCAGCATCAGACTTTGGGGAAGCCAGTGTGCTTGTGTCATGATCACCTAAGGGATCTGGAGTGAGTGTACAGACCTGAAGCACTATGATTAGGGCAAGGCACAAGTGCGACCAGGGCAAAAAGAGCAGGCACAAACAGTCTGTTTTCAGAAGCCACTGATACTGCTGAGTATTCAGAGCAAATAAGAAAGCTCTGTCCAAGTTAGGGGACATCAGGGCCAAAACTCAACCTGACCCCAGGGGGCAGCAAGGATGCTAGAGGGAGACTGTGGCATTCACAAGGCAGTAGGATTACCAAGAGCTGGATACAAATGGGTTCTCTCAGCAGGGTTTTAGGGTGAGTCCACACAGCATCAAACCTTACTCTTCTTCCCGTGTCACTACCACGCAGGAAAAAGAACAAAGTCAAGTCCCAACAAGAACAAACAGAAGATGCTTATTGCAGGCCAAATGCAACAAGGGAATCTGCCACCACCACGCGTGTTTCCAGGAGATTCAACAGTAAGGCAGAGCAGGAAGGAAGCGTGTTAGTGAGAACAAAAGACGTGTGCTCATAGGAGGCACGGGACACAAAGAAGCTGTCGACAGCCAGCAAGAAGCGAGGCAACCTCTGCGATCGGTTACAATGCACATGTGGTGTTTCTCTGCTTGGGCGTCAGATGGAATCAGAAGCCAGAATTAGAGAAGCTGTCAATGGTTCGTTAAGCAGGTGCTCTAGCGTACCATCACAGGGTTACTGTGGATCACCCTAGATCACTCCTGGGGACAGCAGTCGGACTTCTTGCAAGTCCAAGGTGGATCCTGGTGTGAACAATGGCTTTGTTGTTTCCACACTGGGAGCGACAGGTTATAGGCCAGAGTGGTATCTTTTAGTCCTTATGTGTGAGTCTTTACAAAAGAAAACAGGTCCAAATAATTAGCAAGCCACTCTCAAAACACCAGAGAAGGGAGGAGTCAGTTTCTGCACTGTTTCCAAGCCATCAAAAGACATAATGGGAATGTAGATTCACTAATGAATGTATATACAGTGTAACAAAAAGAGCAGCCGGTTCTTCCAGAAAGTCGGGTCATTTGCTGCTTTTTTATTTACTGATTTTCTTTTATACTATGATTAATAAATGATAGGGAAATGATTTGATAAATAAATCATGGGAACATGAAAGCTTGTATACCCCAAGATACACCAGAGGAAGGATTTTCAAAGCCGGCTTTGGTGAAGCAGGCTTGCAGAGGTTTTGTGCCCTAAAATCCCAACACTTCCCTCACCAACTGCCTCCGGGACCACAGATCAGAGGAGGCTGGCTCAAACAGGAGTCCCAGGTTCCCTAGGAACATGACCAGCTCGGGCCTGGGACTCCCTTCTGCTAGTCACTCTAGGCCCTCCCCAGGAGCTCGGGGCGTGAGTGGATACAGAACAATCTGCCCAGGCAGTCACTGGCTGCTTAGTGTGGCTTGCAGTTCCATTGTTTCTGAGCGTTGTTTTTATTTGTTTGTTTGTTTTTGGTTGAGACACTACAAGACTGTTTGAATGAAGATTGCTGGATCACTTCAAGACATGAACCAATTCAGAGCATAGGCCAAACATCTCACGGTCAAGACATCCACATCCCGTGTGGCAGGGCTTGGGTTTCCATTTGACCCCATCGCTGATTCCGAATCCCTGCTGGTGCAGAGGCAGCAGGGAGAGTTCAGGTAGTTGGGTTCCTGTCACCCACATGGTAGACCTGAACTGATTTGCAGGCGTTTGAGAAGTGGCCCAGAGGGTGATGGGAGCACTCTCCCTCCTTCCTCCCTCTGTAGCTTCCCTCTTTTTCCTCCCCCTCCCTCCCTCTCCCTCCCTCTCTTCCTTCTTCCCTTGCTTTTCTCCATCCTTTCTTCTTCCTTTCTCTCAGCAAATAAACACAATTAAATCTCTTCAAAAATACCAATCTGTTGTCTCTGCTACCATACTCATCTGAAAGTATAATTCCAGTGTAGTTATGGGACACTGGATTTACAGACAAACTGGTTTAAGCTAACTCTTGTGGCTCAATCACTTTTTTCCCCTCAGGAGAATGCCCATGAGATGTTGCCATCCCCCTTAGCCCCATCTAGCCTAGGTCTTAGATCCACATCAGCTCTTCAGGTATATCTCCCCTCACTTGATCACCTTGCCAGGAATGCACCAGCCTTTGATTTCCATGGGTTTTAAAAATATAACATGGCAAAATTTTTCCTTATACTATCATAGCTATTTTAGTGCATTGTTTATCTCCCTATCATGCAGCACATTTTTAAAAACATTTTAAAAAATTCTTATTTATTTTAAAGGCAAAGACAGGGAGAGAGAGAAAGAGAGTGAGAGAAGTCTTCCACCTGCTGATTCACTCCACAAAAGGCCCCAGTAGCCAGAGCTGGACCAGGCCAAAGCTGGGTTTCTCACACGTGGGTCTGTGTCACACGTGGGTTGGCCTTCCTCCATGGCCTTCTCTGGAGTATCAGCAGGGAATGGGATCAGAAGCAGAGTGAGTGCCCTGATGCGGGGTGCGGGCACCGTGAGTAACTTAACCCTCTCTAGCAGAAAATCACCTTCCACAAATTCTTTCAGGTAAGCCTGTGTCTTCTTTGTCTCCCCAGTGCCCAGTGCGTCACACACACTTTTGACCCACCATTTCCTTTTACAATCACACTGGCCACTGCCTGAAAAAACCTAGGTACCACAAACGCAGCTATCAGCCTCTGGTCTTAACACAAAGGGCTGACAGAGCCGACCATATCCCTGGATCCTAGCAGCTGGCACCAACCCCACAACCCCAAGACATCGCCTGCCTTCAGGAAGCTCCAGTGGCTGCTCCTTCAAGGTTATAGGCAGAACACCCTGAGCGTTCAAGTTGGTCTGGATGCACTTAGCTCACTTTGTGGTGCTACAAGGCGTGCTTGGCATTCGCTAAAAGTACCAGTCCCCCTGCACAGCATTTGGCCCTACACAACTCTCTTGGTCCCTCTTTCTGTGTCCTGATAAAAAATGCTCATGTACAGGTGCTGTAAAACGTCTCCCCTGCTCATATCTTCCTGCTGAAGAAGAAAGGAAGTTGTACACAGCAGTGGGAAGGAAAGAGGGGCGCCAGGTACCGCTGATAGCTCAGGGTGCACCTGCTACACTTGCAGCCCGCTCTGAAAGTGGAGGGCACGAGGTCTGTGCTTAATCCGCAGCATTTATCACAAAGGCCTCTGCAGCTAGCGATAGGAATATTCCGCTTATTAGGGAAGGCAACCCCTGCCGGGAGGAAGGCAGATTGATTGCACCAGCCTCCGACTTGGCCCTGCTGAATTAAGCCCTTCACTCTGGCTGGATACCCTCGGAGCCACTTTCTAATTGCCATTTGTCTTAGGGCTCCCTCAGGGAGCGGGTGGGGAATCAGGGAGAGCTGATACTTCAAAAGTCTCTGCAGAGTCTGATTTGTAGGAGATACACACTCCTCGTGACACACGAACAAACTGGCGCTCTGTTTCCCGTGCCTTAAGATGCATGAAGCATGCAGAAAGGCAAGCGGCTGAGGTTTGTGACAAGCTGGCCCTTCAGGATCTGTCTGTTGTTCTCTGGTCCTTGTACCTGTCACCCAGCTTTGCTGTGTGTCCCCTGTACCTCATCCCAGGGCAGAAATCATCAGAAAGTCTTCCAGCAGGATTTTCTGTAATATTTCAGCCGTTTCCAATCAACTTTCCCATTAGCCTGACTAGATACCCTTCGTGTCCTTGTGAGAGAACTCAGCAGACAGAACAGGTGCCTCAGAACAGCACGGCGCACGGCTACTCACATTTTCTGAGCGAAGCCTCTTGGCAGGACAGCCCCCATCTCTGGGGTGCAGCATGTAATACAGTCGGACTTTGCTGGCATGTTTTCGGCTCTGGGGAGAAAAGGAGAAAGCATGAGCTGTAAGGGAGAAGGCATCTGGGGATGACTTGAAGCGGCTGGTGACAGACAATGCAAAGAAGTGTCTGTAGCAGAGACCGCCCTTCCACGCTCCAGGGTTGGTGTTTCAGACAGGTTAAAGAGCGGGCCCAGAGCTGCAAAGCCCCAGTTCATCTCAAAATGAGACAAAGGCGCAGGCACAAGGAGATTTTAGCTCCAAGTGGATGACTATTGAACTGTCTCCCCAAAATTCAGTTACAGGAACTAGCACATTGGTCAACAGTGAGGCACAAAGCAGCAATAAGGGGATTGGTTTTTCTCCATCACTCCTGCCACCTCTGCCAGCGTCCACGTGACCAGGAAGACGGAGCGAGGAGCAGAGCCAGGTATCAAACCCAAATAAAATGACTCTCCTGCCTGTGGTCTCACCATGCTTATGAGAGCTCCGCAAAAGGATGAGAGCACGGGCGACACTCAAACTCCACCCCCAGAGAACACAAGTCCCCCCACGCACACACCTCCACTCCATGGATCTCTTTATCCTGCAAGGGGATGGCCCCAATGCTTACAGAGGGCAGCGTCCTCTCGAATACACCTGAACTCCTTCATCTGCGAGCGTTTTCTCTCTGCGTGTGGGTAAGCCTCGTCCCTCTGCTGACTTCCCCTGAATCCCATCTGCAAATCCTCCCTTGTGTCAGAAACAAGAATTTAGACACAGCCACCCCTTGCCATCAGGGTGCATAAGAAACTGCTAGCATTAAATACCTATTGCTACAGAGGATCTGACTCTACCCCATCCATTGCTGCAGCCCTCTGTTCCCCACCCCTGCCCGTTAGAGATGACAGCCTTCTTTCTGAAATCTTTGCTCCTCTTGGCGATTATCTACAGGTGAGTTTGCAGCCAGGCCCGGCAGAGGGCTGACTTTGAAGATCAGCCACAAAGGCACAACGGCTTTCAGAGACCACGCAGCTGGTTGCATCCTGATTGCAGGATACCCTGCCGGTCTTTCCTGTGGACCGCACTCATCCATCACCCTTTCAGTGTCTACAGCCAGAAGACCTTGCTCCCCGACAGGCTCTGACCATGCTGACGGTTTGAACGGGTGTGAACCTACGCCCTGCAACATGAGCATTTTTACTGAGGCATCAAAGCACTAAAGTCTCATTTTCAAATGTATCGCCAACATCTGTAGCCAGTTCTAGGAGACCACGTGGGTTGTGTTAAAATAAAAGGAAATGATCAGTTTATGTGGAAGGCAGAGTGAAAGGACAAGATCACCGATCTGCTGGTTCACTTGCCAAAGGGTCAAGCAGAAGGCACGAGCCCTCCATCCTTTTCTGACACCTCCTGATGCCTTCCCAGGCATGTTAGCAGGGAGGGGATTGGCTGTGGAGCAGCTGAGAGTCCCAGAGCATTCATACATGATGCTGCTGGCATTACAGGTGGCTGCATATCCTGGTGCACCACAACGCAGAATCAGGCGATTATCTGGAGTCTATTTTGACAGGAGGATTGGCAGAAGAGAGAGAGAGATCTGTGTGGATTTGTGTCAAATGATTAACATGGCTCTGCTTCAGCGTGTTTTGGAGAATGACGCAGGGCAGAAGTAGCATTCTACCTTCTGCAAACATACTAGCCACTAAAACCTGAACACACTTTCCACTGGTTGGGCCACTTTCAGAGGTGGGAGGTAGCAGTAACATAATGCCACAGTGAAGAGCAGCAAGGAACACTAAAAAACCCGCAAAGGGCCAGTGTTGCGGTGCAACAACCGAAGCTGCAACCCCAGCACAGACATACCATACAGGCGCTGGTTCACATCCCAGCTGCTCCACTTCCCATCCAGCTTCCTGCCAAGGACTGGGAAAAGCAGTGGAAGTGTTTGGGCCCCTGCCACTCATAGGGGAGACATATATGGAATGAATTCCAGGCTCCTGGCTTCAACTTGTCCCACCCTGGCAATGGTGACAGTGGCACAGGCATGGCCTGGGCTGCTGCCGAGGGCACACACACGTGATCACCAGGGAGAAGAGCCGTGACCATGCAAACTCTTACAGACTTCCTCTGTCGTCGGTTAGCACAGAAGGTGGTCTCTTGGCCACTGCCTCCCTCTCGCATCTCCCAGCCCTGGATTCCCAGCCTGCACAGTCACGGCCACAGCCAAAGTCTCACCACATGCGGCTGTATCGTGTGGATTACTTCTCCCTCTTCCCTAAGCCACTCCATTTCATTCTGGAAGACTTTTTTCAGCAAAGTTAACTGTTCCACAGGTGCAATTTGACAGAACGAGAACCCATCCGCTGAACAGAAAAGGGAAATCAGTGACGAGGGGGGTGGCGGCGCATGCGCGCTGAGAGCCCCTAGGCTCTGCAGCTTGCTGGTGACTGCGTTTCGGCGGTCCCTGCATGGGGACTTCACCCACAGCTCACCTGCCCCAGATTCCGCATGGACAGGGACTGACAGCGCTCCATGTAGAACCTTAGCCTGGGATTAGGAGCCCTGATTCGGGATAGGGCAGCAAGACCCTTGTGCTCCATCGTTCCGCAGCTACCCTGGACGTCCCTATTTCCGTCCAGATTCCCAGGCCACAGGTAATGTCTCCTGTGCCCATGAGCCAAGGGTCCGATAGGCTGATGCCACCCCAGAGCTGCTTCCTAAGGGTGCCGATGGGCAAAGGGACAGAGGTCCCCGCAGGTTGCTCTGGGACACCCTCCAGCCTGCCTGGCCCAGGGCCCAGGACCTGAAACCCAAGGGTGAGGAAGTGGCTGCATCCTCACCTCTCCGCTCAGCATACCCAACTTTTTTCACAAGATCATATTTTCAGAGTCACAGCACCCACCTCCCATGTAAAAGCAAAACTCCCTGAAGTTGGACACAGATACCTCACACCGTTCCGTTTCATGTTGAAAAAGTAATATTAAAATAAAAAGAAAAGTCCCCTCCAAAAATGTAAGAATGCAACCAGCACAGCGATGCTCAGGGCAGTGTTACCGCTTTGGGGACAAAAACATAGGAGATTGAGAAAGTTGCAAGTTCATCAACAGGAAGCCAAGGAAGGCGGCCAGGAGAGTGAGTGCACCTCCCACAAAGCGTGGGCAGAAGAGCTTCCAGCACAAATGGGGAACGGAAAAGGCTCAACTCAAACTGCATATAAGTTATTATCATGACTATGTGCGTGTTCAGAAGCACACCAACAAGAGGCAGAAAGGCAAACAAAAAATCATTTTCTAAAATAGAGTAAGAGAGGCTTTCCATCTACACCGTAAACGCAGCAAGAAATGAGCAATGCTGAACTACAGTCATTTCATACCGGTGTACTTGCTACGGATGGTCATTGTCACTGTTAATGCGAGCCGCTGTTAGCGAGGGTTCCTACATATCTCGGTGTGTAATTCACCCCACTTGTGGCTGCTATTGCTAATGGCTTATCCGCCATCAGAATAAGGGTTTTTTTTTTTTTTTTTCAGTTGCACTGTTTGGTGTCAGAGAAGCCTTTTTCGCTCAAGAACCATGACTGTTACTGCAAATTTTGGCAAGTCCGGTTGATACTTGCAATTCCAAGCAACAGAGACGGGCACAGCAAGGCTAGTGCCATCTGCACAAAGGAAAGGTACATCTGATACTGGCTCTCACGCCACGCAAGAAACACAAACACCACCAACGAGTCCTGATCAACTTTTGAAAAACAAGTATACTAACACTTCACAATTCTAAGACTCTCAAGTCAAGGCAATTTTAAAGACAAAGAAGTTCCCCATGTGAAGGGTACATTACAAGTAGGACAGAATTTCAGGAAGGGTGAAACCAGGATTGTGGTGCAGTGAAGTAGACTGCCGCCTGCTACGCCGGCAGCCGTTATCAGAGCACCAGTTCGAATCCCAGCTGCTCTGTTTTAATCCATCTTCCAGCTAATGCTCCTTAGAAGGAATCAGACAATGGCCAAGTTCATGAGTTCCTGCGTCCTTGGAGTTCCAAGTTCCCAGTTCCAGCCTGGCTCAGCCCCAGATGTTGCAACCATTTGGGGAATGAACCAGCAGATGGAATAAAAGATTTGCTAGCTCGCTCACTTGCTCTTCACTGCCCCCCAAAAGTTCTTTAAAAGCGCTTGCATTAATACTTTTCTCTTAAGCAAAAGGCATGTCTTTCACTCGAACCATGTCAATTTGCAGCTTCCCAGTTGTGCCTGAAATGAAAAACTCTTCCATTTTAAGGAAAGCCTCAACACCTGAAGTGAGGCACTGTGGCGGGTCAGACATAGCTGAAGACTGGTTTATTTTCCTGAAATAGTCTCCTGCACTCCCTCTCAAGTACAATTCCAGGAGAGTCTACTCCAGGGAGCAGGATAGAGAGCAAGCAGATCTCTATTTCAGAGACATTGCTGCAGAAAAAGAGGGCAGAGCACACAAAGACATCACGGCCTTGTGCTCCACCTGAATACCGGTTCCAACAGGAGAGGTCCCATTAAGAACAAAATGTACAGCTCAAATTTGCTTCCCAGGAGGCTACTGATTGTTGGCCTCCTGACTGTGGGGCAAACAAAGCAAACTCTGTATTTGCATAATGCTTGGAGCAGCTTTCAAAACCTCCCCCCATTTATCACTTTGATTCATCCTCACATCAGAAGAGCGAGGCTGACAGGACCGGCCTTATCTCAGATAAGCTTTGCAATCCGTTCCTGATTTCCAAGATAAGCTTCCACCATTTTCCTTCATTTCCACATCTGATTACATCTCACAGAAACCCACCCAAAAAAGGCTAAGGACTTTAAAGAAAATGGAAAACTTGGAGCAGACCATACTTGTAGAATGATCCTTAACCTGGCAGCGTGTTGTCTCCATGGGGGTGAGAGGAGTCGGTCAAGGACAGGGTGGATAGGACAACCAGAGTGGTTCCTGGACCTCAGCCAGTTGGTAGGAGGCAAGGGTGTCTTCTCACACAATGGAAGGGGAAGCTGCCCTGGTTTATCGGCTCCATCAGTGAAGACCCCGCAAGGG